TGCAAAGGGGAGAAGATGTTAAAACTAAAGTAGAATATAGAAAGATTAAATCAGGAAAGACAATTCATGTATGGTAAAGGCTGCGTGTGTGCCCACTTGCTTCTGCCCCACCATTGTGGGGGATCCTTACATGCCCTAAAAAGTACATTATGCTTTAAAATGTCTTTGAAATTTTTAGACAACATTGGAACATGCCAAACCTGAAGAAACCAGCTGGGATGAAGATTTTGCAGATGTTTATCATGATCTGATACATTCTCCTGCTTCTGAAATGCTGTTAAACCTGGAGCACAATTATTTTGTTAGCATCTCGGAATTAATAAGTGAAAGAGATGTGGAATTGAAAAAACTACGGGAAAGGTATTCCTTGTTTTGGATTTTGTGTGTTTTCTTCTCTCTTATTAGACAGGGGTTCATGCCACTGGGTGTAGGACAATGTGTCAGCTTGTGGTTGTCTGTGTAAATCCTAAGCCACGAGACAGGGGTTCATGCCACTGGGTGTAGAACAATGTGTCAACTTGTGGTTGTCTGTGTAAGTCCTAAGCCACATAATACTTAGCTGGTACAAGGGCCTGGAGTGACAGGACAAGGGGAATTGGCTTCAAACTGACAGAGAGGAGGTTTAGGTTAGATTTTAGGAAAAAAATCTTCCCTGTGAGGGTAGTGAGGCACTGGCATAGATTGCCCAGAGAAGCTGTGACTGCCCCATTCCTGGAAGTGTCCAAGGCTAGGTTCCAACCCAAAACATCCTATGATTCTATGATACTGTTAGTGTCAGTTATGTTATATTACTTCAATGGCCTTATCTTTTATTATTTTCAGTGACTGAGGAGAATATAAGTTTTGATTTGCCTTGTTCTAACTACGTTTTAAGTGGTATAGCACTGTAAGGGCTTAAGATTTATAGAAAATAAAATGCATGAAAAGATAAGCAGGAGACTTGAACAAGGTATAAAGCATAAACTTGAATTTGAGTTCTGGGAAAAGCTTGGATAGCTGCAGGTGGCTGCATTGTCCACAAGAGGGAACACATACAATGCAGGTTTTGATTTTCATGCCAGAATATTCTAAGTAGGTCTCTTTTAGCATTCTGAGTGACAATATTCCTCTTGAATTGTGTGTGTGTTTAAGTAAGTAGGTCTCTTTTAGCATTCTGAGTAACAATATTCCTCCTGAATTGTGTGTGTGTTTAATCTCACATTATGGAATGCTTATCTGTTCATGTGGTTTCCTCTAGACTGAATTGTGCATATTTCTAATTTGGGGATAAATGTTGCTAATAATGTGTTGGCAAACCTTTTTGCTGTTTACTGGCTTTTCTCAAGGAGAAGGAGCAGTAATGTTGTAGAGCTCAGGTGTGATATAGCTGTATATTGACTGGTGGAATTTATCATATCTATTTGTCATAACCAAGAAACTCCCTATGCTGTTGGAGGCTGAGACAATCCCAAATTGAGTGTAGATGGTGTTCTGTTTACATAGGAGCTGCCTTGGCATCCCTGACCTTTCACTCAGGTTTTGTTCTGTGCATGTTAATTGTTAAATCTGTGCTAGGTAAATGCACTCCTTGCTGAAGAAAGGACTGAATGTGAAAGACTTAAGTGAAGACAGGGATTAATCAGACTAAGGAGTGACTAGGTATTGATGAATTGATGGTAGTAGAGCAGCCCTTTAACTCCAGGTTCCCTTGGTCAGGTAACAAGAAGCTGGAACCCACCTGACTATTAAAAGTAGGTGTGTATGACTTGCTTTCTGGTGTTTATTTGTCTGCAGCAACTGTGGTTGGGGTAGAAGAAACCAAGAAAGAGACTGAGCAGGTCCATTTCTAAAACTCTTTTAATGATAAGGATAGACAGGTGATTTATTAGAGTATCTGGAGAAACTGTCATACCTTCTTCAGAATATCTGTGAGGGGAGAGTTTCAAAATGATGGACAAAGTACTGCATGGTTGCCTTGCAGCTCTGTGTTCATTTGTGTCTCTGCTGCAATGAACACAGAGAGCTGACTGATACAACTGATCCTTCTATCAGTAACTATCACAGCAAAGGGTGTTCTACTGCCAGTTTTTTTAAATCTGCATTTGCTTATCTTTCAGACAAGGAGCTGAAATGGATAAGGTGATGCAGGAGCTGGGGAAATCACTCACTGACCAAGATGTGAATTCGTTAGCAGCTCAGCATTTTGAATCTCAGCAGGTAAGTGGAAGTTCAGTGAATAGAATACATCATGCTCATAATCAACTTAAAAAGAGAACCCAAACCACTCAAATTTATCACTGTTGTCCTGTTAGGATTTGGAAAACAAATGGACCAATGAATTAAAACAGACTACTGCTATTCAGAAGCAGGAATACCAGGAATGGGTGATAAAGCTTCATCAGGACCTAAAGAATCCCAACAACAGCTCAATTAGGTATTTAATTGCTCTGTGATGCTTAGTTCTGTTTGTAATAGTTCAAAGGACTTGCATTTATGTAATCTTTTAAATAGGAGAACATTATCCTATTTCTTAGGATTATTATAATATCTGTATAGTGATTTAAATAGGATAATTAAAGCCGATCAAAGGCAAACAAACCACCATTACTAAATATTTATATTTTTAGGAATTTCTTCATTGTGTGGTGTTAGAAACTTTCTGTACCAGAAGGTGTTGTAATGCACTGAACTGCAGCTTGAGCTGAATGGAGTTTCCTCCTATTTTGCCTTTATTTCCTATGTCTGTCTTTAACACAGTTTGACAAGGCTTTCTGTTACCACTTAAGGATGTTCTGTAGGAAAATGGTACCTCAATAAATGGTTAACAATATTGTATGTTTGGAATGAATAAGCCTCCTTTTTTTTTCTATGTATACGTCACTGGACAGCTAAAAAAAAGTGAAATTCTTTTAGTGTGAACACTTGTGGAGAGTTGAGAGAAAAGCTTTGTGTTTGAGGGAAGAGCTGGGAAATCAGAATTTCTAAGTTGGGGGGAATCCTTATTCTTTATCACTAGTAACCACCACTTTGCTACTAATGGGAAAACAGAAGGAGTAAAACCTGATGCTTTCTCATGCTGCATGGTGGTGGAAGAGCCTGAGTAGATCTAGATGGATGCAGTATGGAATTTATGGGAAACAACACCTGTAGGCAAACTGGCCTCATTCTAACCTATAGGCCAGGTAAAACATCACTGCAGTAGTGACAGAGTCTGCTCCAGCTCTAAGCCCAATCCTCAAATATTGTTGATTATTTCCTGTGAAATTGTGAAATTACGAAAGCTGTGCATACTTAACAGTGTGAACCTCTTCCCACGTTCTGGCCTTCTACTGCTGTAAAATAAGACTTTCACAAAGTTGTTGGTCTTGAACAAAAGTTAGGATAAACCTTTCAGTATGTTTCTCCTTATTTTAGTGATGAAATTAAGGTTCAGCCCAGCCAACTGAGAGAATCTGTGGAAGGAAATGGAAGAATTTATGAAGAGCAAAGGCTGTTAGAAGAAAGCTTTACTATTCACTTAGGTAAGTGAACTGATACCAAACCCAAACATAATAACAGATGCTAATAGAGGAACACTTTGATCCCTTCCATTTATCACAATCCTGAGTTTTGCCGTTTCCTGTGTGTATTAAGTCATGTGTGTTCAGCCTGGAGGAGACTGAGGGGAAACCTCATTGCTGTATACAGGGGGCACTGGAGGGGCAGGCACTGATCTCTGCTCTCTGGTGGCCAGTGACAGGACCCGAGGGAATGGCATGAAGCTGTGTCAGGAGTGGTTTAGGGTGGAATTAGGAAAAGATGGTTCCCCCCAGAATGTGGCTGGGCACTGGAACAGCTCCCCAGGGCAGTGGTCACAGCCCCAAGCCTGACAGAGCTCAGGGAGCATTTGGACAATGCTCTCAGGCACAGGCTGTGATTGTTGGGGCTGTGCTGTGCAGAGACAGGAGCTGCATTTTGATGATCTTTGTGGGTCCCTTCCAACTCAGGACATTCTGTGGTTCTGTGTTCTGTACAGGAGCTCAGTTGAAGACCATGCACAACCTGAGGTTACTGAGAGCTGATATGTTGGATTTCTGCAAGCACAAGCGCAACCAGCGAAGTGGAGTAAAGCTCCACAGGCTTCAGACTGCAATGTCTCTCTATTCAACATCTCTCTGTGGGCTGGTGTTACTGGTAGATAACCGCATCAGTTCATACAGTGGGATCAAAAGAGGTGAGCACTCTAGTGGGGTGTACCATGTCTGTGAAAATGGGTATCACTTAAAAGCTTGCTGTCTTCTCTCACAAAAAATATTCCTTGTCAAATTAAAATTTACTGGAGTCCCTAATGTTTTGGATGTGGTATTGCCAGGGGTAACAAATGAAGGAAGAGATACTGGTTAAGGGTGGAGGACAGTGCTGTGCTGTTCTCTCTCATCTCTTCCCTAGGTTTTGTCTTTGAGTAGGGAACATGTTGGAGAGGACACTTCAGTGTTGATTTTGCTGCCTTAGACTGTGTTATTAGAATGGTTTCTAACTCTTAATATCAGATTAGCACACTGAACATATTTGCAAAAATGAAGAAGAAATATGTTGAGATTTTAAAGTGATAACTAAATGTATTAAACTACCATGTGCTTTTGATACTATGAATGCCATTAAAAGTGAACAATAGAAATATTGCTCACCTACTCCTGAAAAGCTTGATTAGTAGCCATTTCAAATGCATGTCTTTTGAGTAAGGTGACACTGTGATGATGGTGTTTTGTATCAAGGTTAAGAAATGAAACGTGTTCCTGTTCTAGTTTGGGTCACTGAGGCTTTCTGTGAATAATCACATTATTGACCTTTCCACCTCAGTCTTGAAGTTTAATATGAAAATATTCACACTTGGGATGTGGTTTTTTTGACTGGAGACACCATTGTCATTATTCTAGCATGTCATAAAAAGAAATAGACTTTGGTGGTTGATATTCTCTGAAAACAGAGTGGAATCAGGCTCGTAGCAAGAAGGAAAGGGAGTGTACCAGTGGAAATTGCAGTTGCATTTGTGCTGTTTATGGTTTCCAAGTTGCTCAATTATAACAGTATTATTTCTTACTTGGACTTGTTTGCAGTTACTTTTTTAACTCCTTCAATATTTAAGTTGATAACAAATATAGGAGATCTGTTTTTATGCTAAATCTGAGGCAATAAGAGAAGACAGATATGTAAGTAATACCATTAAACACAAAGCTGCATCTCCTACCCACTGACTAGATCTTGCAGCCACAGAAGAGGGGAGAATAAGGGACTGTATCACAATCTGTAAAATATAATCTTTGATAATTTTGATTTCTTTGGGGTCTGAAGGGAGTCTCAAACCTCTGAGAATAGTTTCTCTATCTTCTTTATGCATTGCCAGCCCAAGTGTCATATATTAGGCCTGTGTAGGGCTACTGTGGCTCAGCTTTGGAGTAGCTGAGGTGCACCCAGCAAATGATAAACTGAATTTAAAGTTGATTTAAATGAACTAGATTCTTCATTTTTTTGTTTCAACCACTGTCTTGTGACTTTGGTTTACCTTGATACACGCAGAAAACACAGTCTTTTGGAGTATCAGCTTCCTCCCTTGATTTTGGATACTGAAATGTCATAAAGGCTTTTGAAATAGTTTTTATGATGGAGATGTCATGTGGAAAGATAAAATACATTACGATTTTTCTCTCTACCTGTTCCTGTCACAGCCTGTTCACAGGAGTATACAGTGCTCTCCAGACAGGCAATCAGAGTGCATTAAGGAATGTAAGGAGGATTAGAGCAGGGACCTCAAAGTGGGAAGTAAGTACCAGTTGCTTAGAATAGTCCAGCTCCTTGCTTAAGGCTTGTTTTGGCTCCCATTGACTTGCTTGGAGAGACAGCTGGATGTTAGGATGAGGAGTTTAGGATACCAGTCACAGAAGCTGTTATGATCCTAATTATCAGTGTAATATTTCCAAGTCTAACATAATCCTTGCTTATCAGGAAAAGGAACTCTCAGCTCTTTCCAGGTGATGACACTTTTCTTTAGCTCTCGGATCTGTGTTTTGAGAACTAAAAGGAAAGAAATGCAATTCCAGCTTTTACTGTTTATGAATTTCATTAATAGCTCTCATTTTTCCAAACAAACTGAAATGTTGTTGTTGCTGTTGGAAGTATCTATTGTTTATGTTTTAATAAAGCATCACATATTGAAGGACTGTTGGTAATGAGGCATCATTTCTATACAGCAATTGCATTTAATGCTCATATTATTGCTGTTATTTTGGGGTTTGTTGGGGTTTTTTTTGGTCTGGCTGGTATTGTTTGAAGAGCAGCAACACTCAAAGTTGTGGGTTTTTTCACCAAGCATTTCATGTATTTCAAGCAGTGTTTTCTTACTGCCATAATTTTTGCTTTAGAGATTGAAAGAGGAGGACAGCAGAGCTTTGTCTGGTGTTTGGGGTTTTGCCTTTGTAGTTGGCCTTGCTTGAACAGCAGAGTAGAATTATGTAATGTTACTCAGCACAGCCTCATTGCATGGATTTTAATCTTGCATCCCTAGATTTTGCAACTGTTTGCCAAGAATGCACAGATTTCCACTTTCCTGGAATCCAAGAACAGCTTGAGATTGTCCAGAAGGTTGTACTTAAGGCCAGAGCACAGCGTAGCAGTAAGTCAAAGAGACACCATGGTCAGTGGCAACCAAAATTACTTTCCTTGAAATAGCTTAGTGGTCAGCTGAATGTTTGTGTGTATGGGCAAGTTGATTTCACTCTTCTGCAGTTATCTGATCCATAAAATGGAACGTTTGGGCTTATTGATAAATTCTGAGACCTCTGCATGACGTTGTCTCTTTGCAGAGAGGATGTGATGTTCATGTGGTGTCTTTGCTGCCATGGCAGACAGACTTTAAAAACAAGAACCAACATACAAATCCTTAGGTTCTGATCACATTTTAACAGCATGGCATGTTTATCAGGCCATTCTGCTTTCCTCTGTAGTTTAAACTGCCTGTAGCAACACAGACTTTACTTTTGCATGTAACCTTAAAAAACTGCAGAAGAGGAGTTATGACTTATCCCCTTCCTTGAAATTCAATGGTAAATACTGAGTAACAAATTGGCTGTGTATACTTTTTAGTGCTGACCAAATCTTTGTGAATGGTTTCCTTTGCAGTTGTGTTTACAAATGGATGTGAAATGTTCTGACCACACACACACGGTGTTAAGGCAGTACTTGTACATAAGGAAACTGTTTTTCCTGCAAAGAGCAACTGCTGTGATTTAAATACATCAGTAACATGAACAAGTTCATAAGAGTACATAGAGAGACAAGTTTTCTGGGGAACCTGCATGTAGCTGTAGTCTGAGGGAAATGGATTTTTATGTTGCTGATTTATGTAAACCTATTTGAAAGAAATTTGTTGCATTATATAAAGAGTAACAGCAAGGTACTGTGTGGTTGGGAGGGCAATGTGGGAAGTTCAGTATTGTGTCTGAGAATATTGTGCTTTCTTTTGCCCAAATGAAGAGGTATAGAAGGATGGTTAAGTAAGAAGGCAGATGATTTGAGGTAGGATTCAGTTTGGTGTGTGTTGAAGACAGCAAAAACATTTCCTGTCCATGCCCCTTCTCTTTGGGGGCTTTATGGTAAAAATTCAATCCAGATATCATGGCAGTACATCAAACCTCTATGCCAAAGTGTAAATAATAGATGATATGTTTAATGTTTGTGCTTCATATTTATACACAGAAAACAAAACTAGTGGAAATGAAGATAAATTAAAGAATACTGAACGAAATCAGTCAAATATTTTGCCAGGTGAGTTTTGTGTTGCATTGACCCCTCTTCTCATAGCAAATTGTGTTTCATACATGCACACTTTTAGCTCTAAAGTCAAAACATAAATTATAAACTAAACCCAAGTTGACCTCAATCAGATGAGAAGGATGTTCTTGTGGCTAAGGCAGGGAACTGGGTGTCAGGACATCTGGTTTCTATTCTCAGCTTTGCCACTGCATCATGTGACTTGGGGCAAATCACTTAACTTCTCTGTGCTTAAAATTTCTTTTCAGAATTTGAGGGTGGAAAAAAAAAAGAACTGGGCATCTTGGGGGGAAAGGTGAAACTTAAATGCCAGCAGCTAATTTTATTTTGGAAATAATTATATATATGTCACTGTAGTGATACAGAAAAGCATTTTAACTTTGACAACGTACAAGTTCATTCCTCTCAGGAAATGTGTTCTGTATATGTTGTGCTGTTAGTCAGGAAAGCTTCTGTGGAGTTTGATTTTTTTTTAAAGAGTTAAATCCATACAACCTGTGGTTGAATGAGGGCTTCTTAAAATTGCTTTCATGGTTGTCTTAGATCTTGTTAGTATAAGTGGATTTTAAATCAACTTGGGTCCGTAACAGATAAATCCAGGTGTGTCTTGCTGCAGTGGTTTGTGTGTTACTCCTTGTAGACGGTCACTGCTGGGGATGAGTACCTCCCTAGCAGTCAGCAAAAAGCAGTACAAACCCATTCTTCAGCTGTCCTAGGTTACAGGCACTATCTTACCTTCAGTGGCCAGTGAGAACAGGGTTGAAGGAAGATGTTTGTCTGTGGGGTATTGCACACCTGCTTTTCTGTTCACTCTAGTATATAGACTTTTGATCTCCAGAGGAAAGGTAAGATGGAGAGACCTGAATTTTACTGTCTTTGATAAATGTTTATCAAGTCTAAAGAAAACCCCAACAAGACGTCTTGGTAACGTTTTGCAAACACCTCCATAACTCTTCCCATTGCTATGAAATAGTTGAAATTCTAATGATCACTGATGCTTTTGTCTTCCAGCAGGTATCTCATTTGTTATGTAACCTGGTATCTTTTTCCACAGGCTTTTTGCATCCTTTATTTCAAACCATCCTTTTTTGGTATTTCCTCCTCCCACATCTGTCTGCAATTCAGTGCTTGCATTATGTATTTTGAGTATTACACCTCCTCTGTGTTTGTTTTTCTGTTTCATGCTATATTTAGGTCATATCCGCCTGTACTGGCACTGTTAGGTCTTATTACACCACGTGTCCAGTGAAGCCCATCAGAGCAGGGAAGTGAGTCTAGGATGAATGTAGAACAGTGATATTCCAGGAGAGTTTAGATTAGTTGGGTTCTAACTATTTTTTTAATCTCCTTATCATAGTATCATCAAGAGGTTGTAATGGAGCTTGGAGATCATCTAGTCCCAGCCCTCTGCCCTGGGCAGGGACACCTCCCACCAGAGCAGGTTGCTCAAGGCTTTATCCTGCCTGGCTGTGAACACTGCCAGGGTTGGGGCAGCCACAGCCTCCCTGGGCAACCAATGTCTTACCACCCTCACATTAAAAAACTTCTTCCTAATATCTAATCTAAATTTCCCCTCGTTCACTTTATACCCATGTATGTTTGTGTGTGCGTTCTCTCTCTCTTGTACGTTTGTTTTTGCCTTTCATCTTAAATGCCTGCGTTCTTACACTGCCTAACAGTTGGATTTCAGTGCAGATCACTGCTGTGATACCTTGCCTTCTTCATTTATATTGTTCTCCAGGAGAATTCTACATCACACGCCACTCAAACCTCTCTGAAATCCATGTTGCCTTTCACCTCTGCGTGGATGACAACGTGAGGTCTGTTAATGTCACTGCTCGGGATCCTGCGATCATGGGCCTCAGAAACATCCTCAAGGTTTGCTGCACACATGACATCACCACCATTAGCATTCCTCTCCTCCTGGTGCATGAAATGTCAGAGGTAAGTAAATGTAAAGATTTGGCTTGATTTTATACCCTTGGATGCAATACAAGAAGTGATTTTTGCGAAGGTTGTGTTTCCTGCTGGCTTAGACCCAATGGGATGGTTTATCTCAGTCACATGCTTCTGCCACACCACTGTGTTGGCACATCTGTCTATATGATAACCCAAATTAAGGAGCTGGACCAATTTAAAACATTTCAGCCAGCTGAATCACATAGAGTTTTTATTCCCACTCATGATTCTGGACATTTCCCTTCGTGGACCCAGCTCGCTACACAGCTGTAGTAGTATTAATGAAAGGTGGGACTACATGACTGGAAGTCTTGTGGCAACAGCTCTTAGGAACTGTACCTTCAGAGCTGCTAGTGCAGCAGTGATACCAGATCCCCAGTTTTAATTGCCATTGGCTATCAATTGTAAATCGAAGTTTTATGAGCAGCAGAACTAGCAAAACTTGGCCCAGAGTTCTTTATCCCTAAACACCACTCTACCACCTCAGCTCTACACAGCCGCAACCAAATTTTACTCTTTGAACTGTCTCCTTCTTCACTGCCTAATCACTGACATTGTTAATTTCTATTCTGTTTCCTCTAACTCCCCCCAGATAGCAGCTAGGCAAGAGGCAGCATCTTGCCAAGGCTCTTCGTGTTCTTACTGTGCTGAGCTTTTGTATTCTCTTTAGTGGCACTCTGATGGAGAGCTTGTCTCTCAGATCTAACTTTTCACAGTCCACAGTAGTTTAAAACTATGGGCAGCCTCTTTCCTCTGTCACACTTGGCTCACAGGATACTAGCAGAGTAGAAAAGGATGTGGGGAGGCAGGGAGAGAAGTGGTGGACAAGCAGTACAGCCATGACTCACCTGCTTTAGAGGTGCAAAGTCTGTAAATGAGAAAAATAAGACAATGCTGCCACCCACACAAAGGAATCTGTAGTAATTACAGTTTGGTGTGTGTGTTTTTAAAATAATCCTTTGATTTTTGACATGTAAATTCAATATTGCCTTTTCTTCTTTGAAAGTCACAGCAAGATAAAGGTTCACCAGTGGATTACCTTTAGCAGCGACTAGTTTTATAACAGAGCAGTGTAGAAGTGGCCCCTTCTGCAGGATCAGGGGTTATTATCATGAAAAAGCAAGCCTTGCAAGAGGTAAAAATGCCCAGTAATGAAGCTTCTAAAGGATACACTTCCATACATAAAAATAGACTTTTAGGAACAGATTATATTCTTGCTGAAGTTTTTGATCTCTTGTATCAAGATCTTTTTTTGGGCACAAATGCAAGTAATCAACTTGCAGGACAGCAGCCTGGATCACTCATGGGGCCCAGTTGCTGTGTTTCATAAATTGATTGACCTTTTTCTTCATCAAGTTGTCACCTTTTCTTTTTATATTTTCTTTAAACCTCTTTAGTCTTAGCTTTCACTTGTGTATCTCAATTTTATAACACAAATAAAGCACAAGACCAAGAGTTCAACATGCCTTGAGAGTGTGTTGTTGCTTAGATGTGTGAAACTGAAGTTATCTTCCATTCTCATGCTGAATTCTTAAAAAGTCTTGGTAAAACAGTTCTACAGAATCATCAGAGTTGGAAGGGACCCCCAAAGATCATTGAGTTCAACTCCTGGCCCTGCACAGCACAGCCCCAAGAATCACACCATGTGCCTGAGAGCATCATCCAAATACTTCCTGAACTGTGCCAGTTTTGGGGCTGTGACCACTACCACTGTGTACTTTGTTGTTAAGGTGTAAAGTCTTTGCAGAGTAAGCAGAAAGTGATCTGTATGATAAGTGTATGTTTAGGCAAAACTGTTCTGTGTGATTTGCATTAGCAGCACAGCTTATTACAGTGCTTTGCAACTGGCTGGTCTAATTTGAAACACACAAATATGTAACTTCTTGTTGAAGGAAAAGTGAATAATAACAGATTTCTGAATGTTAACTTGAACTCGGTGCCTTAAGCAGCTCCAACTCTGAGTCTGCATTTACCACCTACATAAAAACATTTTTGTAAAGTGGTTAACCAGGAGCCCAGCTGCAGAGATGTTTGCATGCTTCACCCTGACAGGCAGTCATTAGCAGTGTTCTCTGTGCTTTTCCCAAAGGATTTCTTCTTTTATGGCTGGAAGAGTGGTGTTTATAACCTCACAGAAGTAATCACATAATGACAGAATGGCCTGGCTTGGAGGGACCTTAAAAATCATCCAGTTCCAATCCCCTGCCATGGGCAGGGACACCTTCCACTAGACCAAGTTGCTCAGATGTCCATCCAACCTGGCCTGGAACACTTCCAGGGATGGTGCAGCCTGTGCCAGTGCCTCTTCAATCCTAATAACCAAAACTCACTATAGGAAATGGGCTGTTATGTCCTGTACTGTGTTTTGATTGGTGCTTCACTGATCCTTCATCATTTCCACAACTGTTACTTAGTTTGTACATAGGGAAGAATCTTGATAACGTGTCAAATTCCTGAGAACTTGCATTTTTAAAGATGGATTAGAACTGAATCACTACTACATCATTTTCAGTCCTTGTGGCTTGCATGGAGTGACATTCTGGATTCAACCTGTTATTTCCCTGAGTGCCCACAAAATTTAACATCCATGTTCCTCTAAAATAGTCCAAGGAGTAGTGTCATATCCTGCTGTTTCAATCAGTCCTTTTAAGGCTTAGTTCCTATCACTGATTGTGCAAGAGAAAACTTTTCTTCTTAGTCACTTGTTTTTTTCCTAAGTCAGAACAGTGAGCAAAACCAACAACAAACACCTACATTGCTTGTGACAGAAAGCACACGTGGGCAGATGAGCTGTAATAAACACCAACATCTTCCAGCATGCTTAGAAATTAAACAAGGAAAAGAAACCAACCAAAAAAAAGCCCCAAAACCCCAAACTTGTCCAGCATCGTTCTGATTAAATGTGTTGTATACCCTAAAAGCAGCATCTATGGATGCAGTGATTTACGTAGTGAAAGAAAGAGTTCTGAAGAGATACTTCTAGCTTATGCTGGTTTAAACATACTGTGTATTTTGGGGGTGGCAGGAGATACTTTCACCTAAGCAGGAACTTTGGCTTTCCACAGTTTAATGCAGCCACATGTTCAGTTTACTGCTTCAGTGTTAGCAGCATTGTGAGATAACTTTGCTGCTCAAGTAACTTTCTGTAGTCCTGGAATTAAGCCCTTTGATAATGGCAGGTTGCACAGTGTTTGACATTGCAAAATAAAGTCTGGCTTTAGTGAACAAAAATAATGGAGAGCTTAAATTTGGAAAGGTACATAGAATGATAAATTGGTTTCCCCCTCTATTCCTGTATTCAGGCTAGAAAGTGCTCATCTTCATGCTGAAGAGTACATCAGAACAAATAGATACTAATTCCTTTCTGATAAATGTGCCAGTGAGTCATTCTGTCTCTGACTAGGAATATTCATCTTGATATAACTCACTTTGTAGTGCACAGCCAAAGAATGTTTAATGTACTAAAGTATTTAAACTGTTACTTCAATTATTTAGTCCAATGCTTGTAGCCATATCTTAAACCCCTGTAACTTTCATGTCATGTTTTGCTATTTAACTTTAGGTAAGGATTTGCTTTCTATTCATATCTGAAATTCCTTCACCAGATGTGGTGACTTTTGTGTGGTTTTATTCTTAACATAATCATAGAATCAACCAGATTGGTAAAGACCTCGAAGATCATCAAGTCCAACCTTACTGTGGTTACTAGACCATGGCACTAAGTGCCACATCCAGTCTCATCTTGAAAACCTCTAGGGATGGTGAATGCACCACCTCCCTGGGCAGCCCATAAATGCAGCTTTAGGGGAGAAGAGCTTCTTCCAATTCCAGTATTAGAAGAGAAAGCTTTACTGAAGGTAAAGAAGTAAAGAAACCTTCACCTGCCAAGAAACCTTCACCAAAGTTGTCAACAACAAATAGGAGTCATCATTGTGCTGTTAAGATGTGGCCAGGAGCCTGTCTTTGGCTAGCTGAAGCATGAACCTGGCAGTTATCAGGTGGATATTAGACGTTCTTCTGAAGCTCCACAAGGGAATTAAAGAGATCTGTTTCCAATGACATTAATAGTTATTTTTATTCGAGATCTCAGGTTAAAACTCTGTAGATTGTTCTGACACTGAGCTCTCCTACCAGTTAGCACTGGCAGTGCTTCCATGGTCACCTCCTGCCTTCCATACTCTGGAAAACTGAGTCCATAATGCTGATTGAATGTCTGCAAGGAAAATGAGATCCCATGGCAGAAACGTATGACTTCTAATAATTTCCCTGCTCCTCTTGGTTAGATCCTTTGGGCATTGAGGCTTTTCATTTATTCATTTGTAGGAAATGACTATCCCATGGTGCTTGAAGAGGGCAGAGCTCGTGTTCAAGTGCGTCAAAGGTATGTTAGTGAATGCTGCACTTCAGTTTTTGGCTTGTGTTGCAATTGGTCCAGTCTCAGTTCAGGCTATGTATTTTACAAAAAAAAAAAAAAAGGTGGGTTTCAATAATTTATTGTGTGTTAAAAGACACACATATTTTTTCCTTAAAACTATTGACTGTCATACCAGGAAATAGTATCAGACGCTGAGAATATTGAGATGTAAAATGTTTCAAAAGGATCTTCACAACTTAAACATAGAAGAAAAAGCTCTTATCAGTGCTTTGAGAAATTTCTGAAGGAGGGCAAGAGCTGGTGGTGCAGGGGAGGGAGGGGATTCTGCCTCTCTGCTCTGCTCTGGTGAGACCCACCTGGAGTGCTGCATCCAACTCTGGGTCCCAGCACAGGAAGGACATTGACCTGTTGGAATGAGTCCAGAAGAGGTCACCAAGATGATCAGAGGGATGGGGAACCTCTGCTATGAGGAATGGCTGAAAGAGTTGGGATTGTTCAGCCTGGAGAAGGGAAGGCTCTGGGGTCACCTAATCGCAGCCTTCCAGTACCTGAAGGAGCTTACAGGAAAGATGGAGAGAGACTATTGACAAGGGCCTGGAGTGACAGGGCAAAGGGGAATGGCTTCAAACTGACAGAAAGTAGGTTTGGATTAGATATTAGGAAGAAATAATTTTCCTGTGATGGTTCTGAGGCACTGGCACAGTTTACCCAGAGAAGCTGTGGATGCCCCATCTCTGGAATGTGAACAGTACCTCTCCAGCTTTCTTGTAGCCCCTTCAGATACTGGAAGGTTGCTATGAGGTATCCACACAACCTTCACTTCTGCAGTCTGAGCAGCCTCAGCTTTCTCAGCCTCCTAGGGAAGGTGCTCTAGTCCCCTTATCAACTTTGTGGCCTCCTCTGTACTTGCTCCAACAGTTCCATGTCCTTCCTATGTTGGGGACACCAGAACTTTACGCAGCACTCCAGGTCTCACCAGAGCAGAGGGGCAGAATCCCCTCCCTCACCTGCTGCCCACGCTGCTTTGGATGCAGCTCAGGGCACGGTTGCATTTGGCTATATATAAGCAGGTCCAGGTAGTTTCTCTTACTGCCAGACTCACTGTGCTTTTGGCAACAGGACTGTACTGATTAGTGTGGATGTGGTGACATCAAAGAGCTGTTCCTCACAGAAACCAAGGCATTGAGAGAACTCCTAACACACTGTTTGGAGAAACCTCTCCCTTCTGCTGGCACTCACTGTGCTGGACAGTAGGACTTGTTATTCTGTTCTTCAAGGGTATCTTGATTTTCTGTACAACTCCTCATTAGATTTTCCAGATTTGATTGAGGAGATTGCCCAAGTCTGATTTAAATGCAATTGGTGATATCCCTAATTGAGGCAGTGAAACTCTAGTTGTATGTGAAAACTCCCTCCCTGCTTGATAGTTATGCAATTCACTGATGGAGAATATTGCATAGGGAATGCATGTGGGAATGTGTGAATTCTGTTTTTTAGGTTTCATGATGGAAATGGCCTCATGGGATGGAGGAATTTCTCGGACTGTACAGTTCCTGGTGCCACAGGTAGGTTAAACCAAGTTCATATCCAACCTGGGAGGCTGTTGGAACAAGAAGTTAAATGTCAGCAGATAGAGTTTTGATTTCCTTGCTACTCCCTGCCCTTTTTGGGTCAGCTTGAATTAATCACTGTGGGGTTTGTTCCTTGCCTATAAAACAGGAATAAAAGGGTTTATATTTTTTAATATCCTGTAGAATTTTCTTAGGATGCTAAAATTCCAAACTGAGAAGTTCACCTTTACAAATAGTGAATGAATCACCTTTGGAAAAGAGACTTCTTTGCTGTTATTTACCCTGAAGAGATGGGCTAACTTAGCATCACTTAACTTTAGGTGTGTATTACTCATATTGTCTAACAGCCTGGAAAGCTGCAGTGCAGAGTCCAGTCATGCTTCACAAAGATGTTAATTACTCCAGGTACTTGAAGTTAATTGTAATTAAGATTCTGAAATTATTTAATGTGGAGTTCTAGCTGATCTTCAGAAACAAGAAATTTTCCAGAGGTGGCCAGCACTTGGTTGTATTTGTTCTAAAGAGCAGTACTGGAGGTAGAATCAAAGTTAGATTGGGAGAGAAATAACATGTATTTCTGGACAAAGTAGGAAGATGCTGAGCAAGGAGGAAGCCAAGAATGTACTGAAGCTGAATCTGATCCTGGAAGTCAGAGATAACAAGCAGCACTGTCCTGCTTATGCTAGGCAGAAATAATCAATTATTGTGGAACATGAAATCTGCTGCAAACGGATATGTCACATAAATACACCAACAGTATTTTTAGGTCAATCTTTTCCTTTCAATTGAATTAAGTAGAATTGTAACACATAGTTTGAAAACAATCTTTGTGTTCTTCTGAAAAGCAGCAACTCTCCTAAATGTCAAGAAACAAAGTTGAGAGAGACTTAATTCTTCCAAACTACAGCAAAAAGCCAAAGATAACTGGTGTGTTGGTTTTTTTCCAGACCATTTCTGAGGAGATGTTTTACCAGCTGAGTAACATGTTGCCACAGATCTTCAGAGTATCCTCTACATTGACTCTGACCTCTAAGCACTGACTCTAAGGGAGCAGTAAGCTGTATTCTGTTGACAGAGGATGAGATTGAAGGGATTCCAGACTAGCATGTCTCTTTCCTGAGGGATGATGACCCTGAGGTGTTATTTGTTGCAGTTTCAAGAATCATGTTGTCATAATAAAAGATAAATGCTGTCTGTATTTGGGTATTAGCAGTTGATTTTTGCCTTTTGCTTTATTTCAGCAGTGTTAACATTGAATTCCTCAACTGTATCTCAGAGACATTCAGTGTAACTTATTGTGTGTGACCTACAGATGTGTATAGGTGGTTCTGATAGGTAAGGAGTAGCAATAGGAGTTTATGGCAGGAACAGGCTCTTCTGGTAGTTGACTTATACAAACATTTTCTCAGTGACTTTAAAAAAACTACGGAGCAGGTCAAGTGTCTCCTTAGAATCACTTCAGTGTAATTTGTCACAGTGACCACAAAATAAAATGTGTTACTGCCTCATTCTACTGTTAGAAAATGAAAGGTATGAATCAGACCTTTAACCTGCTGCATTTTGTATATCATGGAAGTGTTCAAAAAAGTCAAATTAATATATACCTTTGACATAATTAGAATTTTTAATTATTATTTCTTCTTTTTTTGTTTTTACTATGTTTGCTCTTTGCTGTATTTTCAGTCTTCACATTGACAAGTCTTTCACACGAACAACTTAATAGGAACACTGAAGTGTTCTGGACTCTGTTGTACAGGTATAATTTGCTGCCTATTAACATTTTATGACTAATCAGAAATGCCAGGGAGACAGCTCAGGATGCAGCTATGGAATTTCTTGAGAAACTTGAATCCAGGCAAGAAAACCCAATCAAACCACCTCTGCATCCCAGTGGTGAGGGGCAAGGGGGATACTACTTTTTCCCTATCTTGGGGAGGCAAGCTTTTGGAACTCAGCTGTGGACCCAGGAGGCTGGAAGCTGTCCTGCCATGCAGGGACAGGCCACAGGGAAAGTCCTGCCTGGAACTGGGATTCATGGGATTACCGGAACCATTGGGCTCACAGCAAAGCAGCTGGGGGTGGGGGTGGTCCCAGGGGGCTCTCCAAACCCACAGTTCTCTGTGTAGGAAGCATGAGGATCCTGGCAGAGCTGGCTTTGAATCAGAAATCTCTTCCTTTGTATTGCTGAAAACTGGAGGCCAATTAAAAATCAATTTCTGTCTTCATTGAGAAGTGATTTATTTTGATAAATGTGAAGATTGCAAAGCTCAGTTGTGAGAAAACCGTAATTTAAAATGCTTACAGAGGATCAAAGGAATATTCACCAGTCCATGATGTTTCTGAAGTCACTGTGTAATTAACAGACTCAGTATTTTTATCAAGTCCTGCATGCTGTAAGAAGCCATG